AGTCTTGAATTGAATTATCAGTGTAAGGATTATGGCCTGCACTAGATGTGCCAAAAATTATCTATATATCCCTTGTTGAATTGACGTATCAGCTAGAAACCAGTTGTCTGTAAAATGTTCTTACTACCTTATCTTCATTCATATATTTTTACTATCGGCAACTGTTAAATGAGTATTTTTAGTTTCATGTATTTGACTTTTTTGGGATATAGGCTTCACAGGCTTTCTCAAAGTATCTTTCTGAATGTAGGTCCTTCTTGAGATCAATGTTACATCATCCTATCCTGTGCATGTCCTTATATTGAAATCAGATTTCTTCTCAACGAGAACTTAAGTTTATAACTGTTTTTTCAATGTGAGTTTGATATTCAGATTTTTGTTGTTACATATAGATAGATTTCTGTAATATTTTTCTTTTGTTACTCTACTTCAATAGCTACGGCCAACTCTTATGAACTCCTGTCTTGGTTTTCCTTGCAGTATAAACCAGATGATCCAGTTACCCTATGGGTGAATAAAGTTGGCCCATACAACAATCCACAGGAAACATATAACTATTACATCCTTCCGTTTTGTCATCCGGGTAACAATCCTGCTCACAAGTGGGGTGGTCTTGGTGAGGTCCTTGGTGGAAATGAACTGATCGATAGCGAAATTGATATAAAGTTCCAAAGTATTTTCTTTTTTCATTCTTGGATTGTTATTTTGATTGCTGTAATTTCTTTAGTAATTCTTTTCAATGTGTTTGACTTCTATATTCCTCCTTCTGCTCCTTGTGTTTTATTCTTCAACAGAGAATGTTGACAAAAGTACTATTTGCCAACTGGAACTTGATGAGGTGAAGGTCAGACAGTTCAAGGATGCTATTGAGAACAGTTATTGGTTTGAATTCTTTGTGGGTATGTTTAGCTTTTCATTCTTTTATACAAGAATAGTAAGTGTGTACAAATAGAGCCACAAAGATACTGATACTTGTCAGCTTGGTTGTGTACTGAAAATCTCAGGATTTGAAAGCATTGAATTCTTTTGGCGTTGAATGGATGTTTGATGGATTTAGTTATCATTTTGTCTATATGACTTACCTTGTTGGAGGACTTACTCTATCTTCCTTGCTTTTCTGTTTTTCCATGTTTGTGCTCTTAACAATGCTGAACGCTCAGATGATCTGCCTCTATGGGGTATGCATAGCCTACTTCCTTTTCCTTTTATCTGGTTTATTAATCCTTATGGTTTGTTGCTGAAGAGTTGTATCTTTTTAGGCTTTGTTGGTGAGCTGCATCCTGATAAGAACAGTGATAACGGCAAGCATGTCTTCTACACGCACAAGAATATTGTTATTAAGTACAATAAGAATCAGGTTCGTGGTTCCTGGCGTATATACAACTTACATTCACTATTTTTTAATTTGGCATTGTTAGTGACAACATTTAATCTTGCAGATTATTCATGTTAATCTCACTCAGGAGAATCCAAAACCATTGGAAGTAGATAGAGTATTGGAAATGACATACTCTGTCAAATGGATTCCAACTAATGTCACTTTTGCCCGTCGCTTTGATGTTTATTTGGACTATCCTTTCTTTGAGCACCAAGTAAGTACCATTCTTGGTGATAATTTTCTACTACTGTGGATTCTTTATTTATTTTTTTTGTTTCTTTTGCAACATGTATTATTTAATTTATTTTCACCAGTCATGCATTAGGTTGTTCTTTTTCTTTAATTTTCTGATACATGTTGCACTATGTAGATCCATTGGTTCTCTGTTTTCAATTCATTCATGATGGTTATCTTCCTCGCTGGTTTGGTGTCAATGATTTTGATGCGAACTCTGAGAAATGACTATGCAAAGTATGCTAGGGAAGATGATGATCTGGAAAGCTTGGTAATAATACCCAGACCCTTTATTTTTCCTCTTCTTTAAGGGAAGCTGTCATTTGAAAATTCACGTTCTCCTCACAATTTCACCTATTCTCTCAGGAAAGGGATGTGAGTGAAGAGTCTGGTTGGAAACTTGTCCATGGTGATGTTTTCCGACCTCCTCGCAATTTGGCACTGCTTTCTGCTGTTGTTGGCACAGGTGCTCAGCTAGCGTTGCTTGTTCTCCTTGTCATCTTATTGGCAATTGTGGGAACATTGTATGTCGGGTATGTCGAGAAGCTATTGAGGTTTCAAAACTCATGAGAGCTGTGAACATTTATATTTGTCATAAAACCCTTGAGATTGGTGGCATAATCAAGTGAGACCTACTCAGTTGAAAATTGACAAAGAGCTAGATAAAGTTTTTTTTATTTGTAAATATATGATTAAAAGTGTTCACGTCTTTTCACTTAAAAGATCAATTAACTATCCATTTGAGAAAAAATTCTTCTTACTTGAAAATTCTTCCCACTTTATTTTAGTACTTGCTAATTTTATAACGATAAACAAAAAGAAGAAAAAAAAATGATCCTACATGCAGCTCTCAGTGGGATACCTTTGTAAGAGGACGTTTATAGACCAAATTGTTCTTTGGTTTTGACATTTTAGCTTTCAGCTTTGAGTGGTAACAATTTTATATATTGGTTCAGGAGAGGAGCAATTGTCACAACCTTTATACTGTGTTATGCTTTTACGTCATTCATTTCTGGTTACGTGAGTGGTGGAATGTACTCACGCAATGGGGGTATGTGCTTTATCACTTATCCTTTCTCATTTGCATTTGTTCATCTACATGTCTCTCATTTTAAAAATTTTGATTCTTTCTTGTTCTTCAGGTAAAAATTGGATAAAGGCTATGATCCTCACGGCATCTCTGTTTCCATTTACAGTCTTTGGGATTGGTTTCATTTTGAACACAATTGCCATATTTTATGGATCTCTAGCAGCAATTCCTTTTGGTACAATGGTGGTTGTTTTTGTAATCTGGGCATTTATTTCATTCCCCCTGGCCCTTCTTGGTACAGTTGTTGGAAGAAATTGGAGTGGTGCTCCAAATAATCCATGCCGTGTGAAGACCATTCCTCGCCCGATTCCAGAAAAGAAATGGTATCTCACACCCTCTGTGATCTCTATGATGGGAGGACTTCTTCCATTTGGCAGCATATTCATTGAAATGTATTTTGTTTTCACATCCTTCTGGAATTACAAGGTGAAATTCTTTTCCCTGTGTTTTATTTGCTTGATGGTGAACTAAAATCGCTGTTGCGTTTTTATACCAACTAATTTTGGATGATAATTCTAGGCTCATATGCACTCATGTCTATATTGTATAGAGAGACTGGCGTAATAGAAATACATCTAATGTGTGTGCCAATTATTTACCATCTGAGAAAAATAATGAAATAGGAAACCTCAAAACTGATCTGGTAGCCTTTCACTCTTATGTTGTACAAACTGAAAGTTACTATATAATTTTTAATATGCTGATGAATGCTAGAACATAGTCTTCATTTATTTTCTGACATGGAAATCGTGAATGCAATAAATTGTGTTTTGCAGGTTTATTATGTCTATGGCTTTATGCTCCTGGTCTTCTTGATTCTAATCATCGTAACCATTTGTGTAACAATTGTCGGAACATATTTCCTGCTAAATGCCGAGAACTACCATTGGCAATGGACGTCCTTCTTCTCCGCTGCCTCAACCGCAATCTATGTGTATTTGTACTCCATTTACTATCACCATGTCAAAACCAAGATGTCAGGCTTCTTCCAGACCAGCTTCTACTTTGGATACACTTTGATGTTTGTCTTGGTTTGGGAATTCTATGCGGTGAGTTTGAAGAAAAAAATATAAACAATTTATATGGTTATCTCGCCTTTTCATGCGCTCCTTCCAAATAAGCATTTACTCTGGCCATTTTTCGCTGACCCGGTAGGAGGGTTTGTTTTCTCTATTGCTGTGTAGCAGCCTTTGTTTTGTTTCTACATCATGTGGGTTCTTTATCATTTCCTTTTCCGAAATGCAGGTGCCGTCGGTTATCTCGGCTCGAATCTGTTCGTAAGGAGGATCTACAGAAACATCAAGTGCGACTAAACCTTTTGTTGTTTGAAAGTATAACCGTCAGTGCTTCCGTGAGGCATCTTTAGTTGTCGTCGAAGCAATAAACGGCTATAAACGGATAAGATGAAGGGGTACACGGGTCGAGACCCCAGAGCGAAGCCTAGGGAGGAAATCACAGGGTTTTAAGGTAGAGATGTTGTTGTATTGTTGGTTTGCATAAGATTTTGCTTTGCCTCTTACTTTCTTTACACACAAATGTATAATCGGAAGCCTCATTTAGAATGGTAGAAAAAGTAGCTTATATATATACATATATATTGGACTCTTTTGTTATGCTTTTGCCCTTCATCCATGTTTTGCATTTATTGATGTATTCCTCTGAGAATGGCTAAAATATATGCACTTTCTTTTAGGGATAAGGAATTCCTCAAAGAGTTCTGCCAAATGGGTTTTTTTTTTAATTTCAGGGTAAAATATAGAAATGATCACTAAACTATAATGAAATGATCCATTTGAACCCTTAAGCTTTCAGAAATTACAAAATAATCATTATAGTTCTATTTTATTTAAATTGATCATCATGTCATTAGTTGCTGTTATGGAGATCACGAATTATAATTTTTTAAATGATAATTAATAATATTTTTTTCAAATGTCAGTATATTTTTAAGTAAAACAAATAAAAATCTTTGTTTATAACTCAAACACAACTTTAATTCATTTTATCACTCTATTTTAATCATTTGTGGTATAATTTTTAAAAGATCATTTTATATAAAATATTTTCGTTTGTGAATTTAATAAAATTTAGTTATTATTAAAAATATTATATATATAATCAATATTTTTTTCAAAGTTCTACAAAAGAATATTCCTTCTGAACGACTTAATATGCTTAATATTAAACTAAAAGAAATGCAGTCAAACAAACCCGGTAATGATATATCTATTACAGCATATACAAAGTTGTCCTCTAAGCAAGTGGGGCACCGTAAGTGAGATTTCAAAACAGCGTTTCGATGAAATCAAAGAATCTTTTATTTGGCTTAGATTAAAACCCTAATTGAGGGCCAGATTTTAATTCGTTTATGGAAGAAGAAGAAGAAGAAAAAGAACCGGAATCGAGAAGGGAAGAAGGGAGAAAAGGAACAAAAACTCCAAGATCTGCAGTACTAACTTCCATGTTCCCTTAATCCCAAGAAAAAAAAACAACCAAAATTTATACAGGTGTTAATAAGTTTTCCATGGGCAAAAACCCCTTCTCATTCCGGCGCCCCTCCATTAGGCGACGGCGTCCGAAATCCACGACGTCACCTCAATCGCCTCCGCATCCGCCGGCTATTGAAGCCGTTTCTTCATCTTCACATCCGCCTCCTCGTACGGATAACTTGATTGGCGGCGGCGGCGGTGGGGTGGGAGCAGCGGGGAAGGGGAAGAAGAAGGCGTCTGGAGCAAAGCTGTGGATGAGATTCGACACAAGTGGGGTTTCGGAGCTGGTGGAATACGATAAGAGTACGATAATTAAAAGGGCTTCGATTCCTGCTAGGGATTTGAGGATCCTTGGCCCTGTCTTCTCTCACTCCTCTACGATTCTTGGTATGTTTAAATTTTTTCAGTGGGTTTAGCTTGGTTACTTACCGTTAGCCATTCTTGGTACTGTTCCTTTCTTTATGTACTGAGGGTTTTGGATTCTATTAGCTTGTAAGTAGGAAGCATGAGTGGAATTGCATATACGGCTAAGATTCAGATTTCGCGGTATACATCGAACTGTATAAAAATGTTCTCATAATTAGGTTTGAAGATTGCTTCTAAAAGTAAGGCGGGGAACATTTTGGTTGGAAATGAGTGCCACTGGAGTGGTTTCCTAATCTTCTTGCTGGTTAAACTTCTGACCCATCAATGTTGTTCTTACACTTCATTTTTCTTTAAGTACTCGTGTTCTATGCTAGTGTCGCCCGATATGGGTATATGACCTTGGACCCTCAAAATATATGGAGAAAATTGGAAAAATTGAACATTTTAGTTGATTTTTACTCTCTTGAAGTATTCTCTTGTTCTTAGTTCCTTGCCAACTCTTCAGCGTATATTGTTACTCTCTGTTGATTGTTGAATTTTAGTTGGGTTTGACAACGGGAAGCGATTAAATGTTTTAAGTTACTGGCTATTAATTAAAGGTTTAGTTTGCTTTAATTATGTACTATGCTCGTGTTGTCAGCTGAACATAGTTTCAGACATATCTCTGTTAGAAAAACTCCCATGTTAGGTCACATGTGCGCGAGACCACCATGCTTAATCACATGAGTTCCTTAGCAGTTAGCACTTGTATGATTGAGAATCATTTTTGCAAGGGACGCCAGCAGATACATAGCTGTAAACCAAGCATTTGGATTCTGCTATTTGCTTGTCTTCTCTCAAAAGAGGAAAGCCGTGAATTATTGTTCAGTTTTATACAATCGAGAGTCTCTATTCCATTTTTTTTCTTATTTCGATCCGTTTTGTTGCTTGGTTTCTTTCATATCTTGATATATTTATCAAACAAATAAGATTACCGGATGCTCTATTTAATTATAATTATCTTGAAACAGTTAAAAGGAATTTTCTTTAGATATTTTAACCTGTTTTTTACCTTGATCTATTTTCACTGTCTTGGTATATCTATCAACAATTAAGAATATTGGATGCTTTGTTTACTCATTGTTATCATAAAACAATTAAGAAATCTTCCTGATATTCTATTGTATCATTTTCAGCCCGGGAGAAAGCCATGGTTGTCAATTTAGAGTTTATAAAGGCTATCGTTACAGCTGAAGAAGTTCTTATACTGGACCCTCTACAACAGGAGGTTCTTCAATTCGTGGATCAACTAAGACTACAACTTCCTCACAGAAGTGCATATAAGACACGAGGGGCGGGCACAGGGGATGTAAATGATAGCGAAACCCATGTCTCAACTGGTGGACAGTGGTTGCCTGTTCCAGAAGCCATGGAGGGCTTGCAGTGTGAGCTTCCATTCGAGTTTCAGGTTCTCGAGATAGCATTAGAGGTTGTTTGCTCGTTTCTGGACAAAAGTGTGGCAGAACTGGAGAGGGATGCTTACCCTGTGTTGGATGAACTGGCCCGAAATGTCAGTACCAAGAATCTGGAGCATGTGCGGAGTTTGAAAAGCAATCTCACTCGTCTTCTTGCACGTGTACAGAAGGTATTTTTTATGCATGTTGTTTCTTTCCACGTCCTAGCTGTTGCTCATATCTGTATTCGGTGTTTCTATGCGCATGTCTTTGAAGGAGCGGATAACCTATTACATCACATATCAGAATGATCAGAATATGAATATAACTTCCCAATGATCGGGCGGAATCTCTACTATTCGCTATATAAAAGATTAACTTGAAAACAAATATATGATTCATGGAAGATGTAACTGATTGATGCTGCATCGACTATCCATGTCCCATTTTTTTCGTGTGAAACATTAACGAGTACCTGTTAAATGTCAGGTGAGGGATGAAATTGAACATCTACTGGATGACAACGAAGATATGGCAAATTTGTATTTAACAAGAAAGTGGATCCAGAATCAGCAATCAGAGGCTTTGTCAGGAGCTGCAGCCTCAAATAGCATCACTACTATTTTGCCTCGTCTACCACGACTTAGTTCAAACAGGAGTGGAAGTATGGTGAGCAGCCACAATTTGGACGACGATGATGTCGAGGATTTAGAGATGTTGCTCGAGGCTTATTTCATGCAGCTGGACGGAACACGAAACAAGATATTATCTGTGAGTATTTGTGTTTATCATGCGGAATCGATGCATCCACTTTCATCTCCCTTGACTCGATACATTTGGCAGGTACGTGAGTACATCGATGATACAGAAGACTACGTTAACATCCAACTCGACAACCAACGGAATGAGCTCATTCAACTTCAATTGACGTTGACCATCGCATCATTTGCCATAGCCATCGAAACATTGATAGCCGGGTGGTTTGGTATGAACATCCCTTATACATGGAACAACACGGATGGGGTTTTCGATATCTTTGTGGGTTGTATTACAGCAGGGAGTGTGCTGATTTTCCTGCTTATCCTCGGATATGCTAGATGGAAGAAGCTGCTTGGTTCTTAAAACTGATCTTCATCATCAACTATGGATATGCGTTTTACCAGAGGCATGCCATTGTAGTATATTCAGAAAACAAGGATAATTTTTATTAAAAAAGCTCTATAAATAGAGATACATGGTGGTGTTATTAAATATTTTTGTTAATTACATGTTTAATATATATGGTATTAATTAATGTTGATGTGTTTCCCGTATAATATTGTTGGCTCTATGTGGAGTACGGTTGTCTCTCTTTGTTTGTTTATGCACTTTGACTAATCAATTAGAGCTTTCAATTGAATTAATTATCATTTAATCCAACAACTTGCACCACTTTCACTTTACGCGTGTAATAAACTCTCTTTCCAGCTCTTGCTTAACTAAATCCAACCACTTCAATCCCATATTCCCATAATTATTTCCTTTAAAGAATTTTTGCATGCAGCCGCCATCTATTAAGACAAGAGAAATCGGAATTTGATCTATTCTACTTTTAATTTTGCTTAATAAAATACCATTCTACTCGATTTTTGTTTAAAAACTATTTATAATGAATTTATATATAAATTTAGTTACCCAATTATTTTTGTGATTCCGTTTTATTCATTTAACTATTTTTACGGTTCTATTTTGATTATCTAACTATTTTTTTAAATCATACATAGATACTACATTTTTATCTTGTTTTGGTTAATCTTGCTTAAAAAATAAACAAAATTGATGATATGATAATTCTTTTAAAAATTTCACCGATGATGCGTTATTACTTTATGGTGACATAACAACATCACTATTAGGTTTTTAACGGTAGGTGACCAAAACATAATATTATGTACGATTTAACAAAATAATTAAATAGCCAAAATGAAACTACAAAATTAATTGAATGACTAAATACATAATTTACATAAAATTTTTAATCCAATTACTCTTAACCCAATTGACATTATTATTATTGTCCTTGAAAGTTATAAATTTAAATATTAATAAAATTTAAAATAATTTAAACATACGTAAAACAATCAAATAAATAAATACGTGTAGTTTACCATAAATTTTAGAGAAAATCGCCTCAGTGACCAAAAAAAAGTTATAATATACGATTTTAACCAACTTTTTTTGGATTTGCCAAAATGACCAACAAAATCGCAACGCGAAATAAAAATCGCAACGCGATCCCCAGAATCGCAAATCAGTTTCCAAAATCGCAACGCGATTCTTGAAAATCGCAATGCGATAGTACAAATTCGCATTGCGGTTTTCCAAAATCGCAACGCGAATATGAAAATCGCAACGCGAACACATAAATCGCAACGCGTATCCGTAAATCGCAACGCGTATCCGTAAATCGCAACGCATATGGGTAAATCGCAATGCGTATCCGTATATCGCAACGCGTATCCGTAAATCGCAACGAGAATCTGTAAATCGCAACGATAATCCGTAAATCGCAACGAGAATCTGTAAATCGCAACGATAATCCGTAAATCGCAACGAGAATCTGTAAATCACAACACTGAAATTTTGGGTATATAACACTGAAATCATAAACTAAATCCCTAAATCGCAACTCATTCCATCTCCATCTATCACTCTCTCCGGCGACATCCGTTCCTATATCCAACGACATCCTTCCCAATCCGGCAACAGGTTTTAGTTTCGCAGCTCGTCTGTTTAGTAAATTAATTTACAACCATGAAATCATCTAATGTTGATCATGTTTTGATAGATTTGTGTTTTGGAGGGTCATGGGATAATGTTCATGGTGTTTTACAATATATGCCTTTACCCATGAATCTTCAACTAAAATTGTCTTTACAAAAGTTAACTTATGAAACTCTAATGCTACGTGTTTCAAATAAATTGAATTTAGAGCCCCTAAGTGGATTTAGGCTATCTTATCAGAGAAATGGTAAAGTTTATTTGTTAACCGACAATGAAGATGTTGAACGATTCATTGCTTACATTAGTGTTTCACAAGATGATGTTACATTGTATGTTGTTGAACCTAGAAGTAGTATTGTTGGGTCAGTAGCGGGTAGTAATCAACTAAGTTTTTCTCAAAACCCACAACCTTTCTCTAATCCAAATCCCAATCAACTTTCAGCACCAAATTCCGGTTTTCGTATTGACCAGTTAGACGATGATGAGCCAACAGAAAAAATTGTGAGTACTAGTCAGTATTCGAAATTTGGTCTTGGTCAATATCCGGACTTTGATATTGGTCAATACACGGATTTTGATGATGTTTCAGAAGAAGAAACAGACCATGTGTGTAATGATTTTCATATTGGTCAATACCCGAATTTGATGATGAAACACCCGTTGCCGAGGAAGATGTTGTTGATGATAATGAGGAGGAAGTTACGACTGTGAATGAACATGTTGAACATCCATTCTGTAATTCATATAATCCTGAAGAAGAAAAAGAAGAAGAAAAAGTCCCCGAAGAAAAGAAAATGCCACGGGAGTATAACTGGAATATGCCAGAATTACTTCAGTTACCGGAAGAAGAGTTGGCAAAGAAAGCAGTTGATTGTTACACAAAAGTTATTCGTGTCAAGAAAGATGATTGTTTTGATACAAAGGAAGACTTGAAGATAGCTTTGTATACGAAATGTGTGGAAGATGGCTATCAACTAAAAGTTAACAAATCAAGCAAAGATCGTTTCGAAACAAGGTGTATGATTGACAAAAACTGTACGTGGCGTATGATTGCAAAGAGAATAAAAGATTGCAAAATGTTTCAATTTAGGACTTTTATTGATAAACATACATGTTCAAGAACCCAAGTTTTTCCTCACCATAGACAGGCAAACAAAAAGGTGTTGGGTGGTTTTCTGGCTGAGTTAATGTTTTTGAATGGCAGGGTATATCGGGGACATGAAATTATGACTGACATGAATGCTCGGTTCAAGATTAGTATATCATATTCTCAAGCTTGGAGAGCCAAATGTTATGCCTTGGAATTGTTGAGGGGGTCGCCAGAAGCATCGTTTGCCCAACTTAAATGGGCTAGTCGATCTAAATGCAAAGACGTGTAGTTGTATGAAATGGCAAACATCTGGTTATCCGTGTGGCCATGTTATAAAAGTTGCTCTTCATTTAAACCAAGATGATTCAAGCGCATACGCTATGGATTGCTACACTACAGAAGTTTATCGACAGACTTATGCCGAGATTGTCTACCCTATTCCACATCCTTCTGAGTGGGACATACCAGATGACTTACAAACAGTTTTGCCACCAGCCATGGACAGAAGGCTACCTGGCCGACCAAAAAGTCACGATCGTATACCGTCTAAGGGTGAAGAGAAGAAGAGATCGACATGTAGTCGGTGCAAGGAAAGTGGTCATACAAGGTTGACATGTGGATCACCAGTGCCATCAAAATCATCTTTTCCTCTACCAAAATATGGATCCTCATCAAAATCCAAAGCTCATATGGTGTCAAGCAAAAGGCAACCATCTTTAAAATCCCAATCACAATTGGCTTCACCTTTTGGGACTGTTAACTTAGGTGATTTTTAAATGCAAACGTTGTATTATGTGGATTTTATGTGTGAACTTTTAACATTTTCAGTTGAATTAATGACTCAGGCCAACCATTTTGACTTAACCAACTCTTGTTATTCAGTTGTTATCACTATTAGGCATGCATTTGACTATCGCAACACGGAAATTACAATCGCAACGAGAGAATCGCAATGCGAAATGAAAATCGCATTGCGATTCTCTCGTTGCGATTTTCATTTCCGCATTGCGATTTTCATTTCGCATTGCGATTCTCTCGTTGCGATTTTCATTTCGCATTGCGATTTTCATTTCGCATTGCGATAGTCAATTTTGCCTTCAACATAATGCAGATTGAAATCAACAAAATCAACCATTACATTTCGCAATGCGGAAATGAAAATCGCAACGAGAGAATCGCAATGCGAAATGAAAATCGCAACGAGAGAATCGCAATGCGAAATGAAATCGCAATGCGAAATGAAAATCGCAACGAGATAATCGCAATGCGAAATTAAAATCGCATTGCGATTCTCCCATTGCGATTTTCATTTCCGCATTGCGATTTTCATTTCGCATTGCGATTCTCTCGTTGCGATTTTCATTTCGCATTGCGATTTTCATTTCGCATTGCGATAGTCAATTTGCCTTCAACATAATGCAGATTGAAATCAACAAAATCAACCATTACATTTCAATCAATTAAACAAGCACAAATAAGAATTATATTCGCATCAATTACACAAATCAACTTTTACAAATCATCTTTTACAAATCAATTAAACAATCAAAAAATAAGCAATAATTCTTATTTCCGATCATCTACTATTGAATCAACTTTTACAAATCAATTAAACAATCAAAAAACAATCAATTAAACTATTGAATCAACTTTTGCAGCTCGACATCATTTTCACGCAGTTCACTTCTGAGATTAACCTGCAGAAACCAAACATTTGTTCAAACAACACTTTCTACACATCTAAAACCTACAAACAGCAAATTATTGAATTCTAGGTACTTAACCAAACATTTTCAAACCAAAAGTATATAAACTTACCAATTGTTTATGGACATTTTTATAACGCGGATGCAGGTAGGCAGCGTCTCGTATATATCGATTTAGCCATATAATGCCGAAACCACAAGCCTACTGCAGCTTTATCTCTATCGGTGGGAGGTAGATACTTGATGCTTCCCGTCGTCAAACGCTCCAACGCCAAGCATACGAGAGGACCACAATCTCCTCTGGCTCCGCTCGTTTGTTGTGGCGCGGTCTCGTCTCTAATAACTGTAATATTGAGCTTCTTTGGCTTCTTGTTTCCAGAACGAGTCCAATAATTGATCGCATCCAAGAATTTAGCCAAATGAGAGCTCCATCCCTTAATAACATCTCTTAAATCAGCCAATGATATGTAATTTATCATGCTGTCATACACTATTGTCTTAAGGGATGGGAGCTGAAGCTCGACGAGAATCCAATGTTTACGTTCCAAAACAGGGATAAACACCTGCAATCATAAGTAATAATTCATTCATTTGCGCACTTATTTCATAAAACCTTTAAACTCAATCTAAAATAAATACTAACCTTATCGACCTCCCACCATGCAGGATAAAGTTTAGCTTGTCCATTGCCCAAATCAAATGATTCATTTCGTGCATTCTTCAAGTGAACGGCGTGAAAAGACGTCGGCATA